TTAAGGAGAACTTTTATCGATTTCTCTTATTGTTGACATGTTTGACTTCTACCCCGTTCCCATATAACTGTACTGGCTCGATGAGGATTTATCGAAAGCTACGTATGCTCGCCACCTCGTCTTCTGATTCCAAAATTCATGGCCTTATTAGATTTAGCAAGTAGATTATGAGCTGTCCGGATTGGCGACGGCCTCCATATATTACTTCCTAAGATCCAAAATGATCCTCTCGACACGTCGAGCCCGCTGGCAGTCATACTTACGAATCTGGAAAAATTTCAAGGTTGGTTATTTGACCAAGTAAGGGGGTGTCCTAAAATCGTTGTCATGACCTCCCCCTCTTCATTTCGACGCTATCCACTGGTTGCTACCGGCTGTAAGGTCGGGATACTTTATTTGTTTACATCTCAAGCTCCGCGGTCACGGCATCTGAAGTCTGGCAGCTGAATTGGCGAAACTGTTTGACTCATCGGGGCCGTCCCGTTCAAACCTCAGATGTGTCAGCACCCGGCAGACGCCAAGTTTATCACGGGCTGGCAACAAAAGAAGTAAGCCGGTGTTGCCAATTGCCGTTATGGCCACACCTGGCGCCCTCCTTCAAGGCCACGTTACGTCAAGATCATTCACCTTCGCAGCGAGCAGTTCCAGACACGCCGACCTGCAGTCACTCGACCGATTTTAACAAGGACGCACATGTGTCCACAGGGTCGCAGCTGTCCATTACCAGCCCTGGCTTCGCCAGCGAACAATGTCGACTCAGAAAACATATCGGGACTCTGCATACAATAAAACCCTTCATTCCGGTGTTTCCTGTATTTTCCTGCAACTCGGCATTTGGCCTGACGATTGTAGCGCTCTGAGTCACACTTGCCCCGCCGAAACGCTAAGCCAGAAACGATAACGCTTATGGCAGATGTCTTCGTACCCCTATCCGCCTTTAGTCCGGCCTGTCCGTAGGAACCCCTCAACTGTGTACCGCAAAACGAAATTGTGAGTTAGCGCAGACCGAGCATAAAAGTTACCACCTTTCTGAACTTGATACATGAGTGGAGGCGTCTATTCATGTGTTGCGATCTAAGGGCGAATATCCTCGTCCTCTCCAGGCCTCGAAGTCCACACCGAACTGCGGCCAATCTTCCGATAGGCAGTGCAGCAAATAAATTTACCGATAATGCTATTACCGACAAAGACAAGGGAGACTGGAATGACCATTTCTGGCTTATTAGCCGTCGTCAGCCAGTCATACCCAACCCCGAAATGGGGAACACCCGAGACTCGAACTCGCGACCTGTCAGTTAGAAGTCCACGCCTCTAACCACTGGGCCCCGAGCCCGCTGCCTTGTCGGTTTTCGATCGGGAACATATATAATGGTAAGGGGTGCTCACCGATCGTTCTTACGGAACTCACTCGTCCCGTTCTGCCTTACGGGTTCTCTCTCGAGCCCAATCAGCAGCCGCACAGCGGCGCATGATATAGACAGAATGCGCCCCCTACCATTGTATATTCCCGATCGGAACTGACAAGGGAACGAGCTCGTGGCCCAGTGGTTAGAGGCGTGGACTTCTAACTAAAAGGTCGTGAGTTCGAGCCTCGGGTGTTCCACACTTCGGGGTTGGGGTATGACTGGCTGACGACGGCTTATAAGTCAGAAATGGCCACTCCAGTCTCCCTTGTCTTTGTCGGTAATACCATTCTGCCTATATATCATGCGTCGCTGTGCGGCTGCTGGTTGGGCTCGAGAGAGAGAGAGAGAGAGAGAGAGAGAGAGAGAGAGCTCGTAAGGCACAACGGAACGAGTGAGTTCCGTAAGAACGATCGGTGAGCGCCCCCTACCATTGTTTACCGCTAAGTCAGAGGGGAAAATGGGCTATGCGGACTGACGAAAGGATTCTCCTGGAATGGCTGAAACTACGTTCTTTTCAAAAAATAAATCATCGTCTGCAGTATTTCTCTCTACCTGGGCGATGTGCTTTTTTCAATCTGTAACTTTTGTATAAGCACAGATCGCTGCAAAATACTGCCTGATTGCTGACATTCACTCACTATTCTATTCACTGACTTCGCAGTCCGTGTGTCTTGAATGGTGGAGAGCAGTTGCTCGTGCGCCTAACGAACTGACAACCCGGGTCGAACTCTATTCAGCCCACTGGCATATTTCTCGAGATGCCAATACAACTGACTCCATTTTACGGCTTGAAAGTGTGCCACAGTTTCGGCGGCACTTCCGACTGTCTTCATATCGCGGTTTGTTTGACCTTAATTACGTGACCTTGACGGTTTAGGCGCCTAAACTCGCTTCGGGACAATAATCACTTGTTGCTATGGCAGCACTTATAGGGGTTTCTGATGTAAGCTAAGGGAGTCGGACGCACCGGATGCCATCCCCCCTGCCCGCTTCAGCCTGCAACCAAGTTGCCATTTTCACAGACAATATTACCCTCTCGCGGCTGGTGAGGCAGGACTCCCCGGAGAGGGGGGTCCTTTCCGGACCGCTTTCAGTTGGCTGGTTGCGTGTCAGGAGTGGATGCTCAAGTCGACCCACTTCTGCTCTACGCCACCCCCCCCCAAAAAAAAAAGATCAATGCTGCGTGAACACACACAAAATAGGCAGGTCTGCCATGTTCGCCGGACAGGGACAAGGTGCTTAAATGACTTAGTAGCCTTTTGTCCTTGAGCGTTGGCTTCCCGCCACAGAGAATGTGCTGAGAGAAGGCTATGGCAGCGTACTAGCATGCGTGTACCGACGCATTGTTCTACCCCCCGCGGTGTCGGTGAGGGAGAGGTTAAAAGTTGCTCAAGAAGGGTCAGTGAGTGCCGATAAACAACACCAGATATCAGGTCAGCATCGGAGGCTACCGAGAAGGGGTGGGGGCGTGAGTTCGCGCATGTCTCCTCCTCCGTTGTCAGATCTGGTTGGCTGGGGACACGGCAAACCTCCTTTGAGATAGGCACATTTGACCTCAGGCGCTGGTCAGGTCGGTCAGCGCGAACGTGCCCGCACTTTTACCCCGCGTTCGTTATTCGTGTTTGATGTGTGCGTTTCTGCTGGGTAGCGCGAGAGCCATAATACGTGTGCGTGTGCGTATTTATCATCAGCGCTCGCGTGCGTGCATGGGCGTATTTCTGGGTACGTGAGGCGGTTTCAGTCCTGAACCAGCCAGTGTGACTGACTGAGTGCGTGCGTGCGTGTGTGCGTATCCGGCTGCAAGCTGCGCTCAGCTGATACACAAAAGGCAAACGGGACATCACACGCGCAGAGCCCCCGGTATCTGTGAGGTCGGCCAAACCCCGCTGCTTCATATCCTGCCGCGTGGACGTGGTCCCCCCGCTGCAGTTGACCCCGATGCCGGAGAAACAGTCCGCCCAGCAGTCGCCCCCCACGAAGATGTTAGAGATGCTGTTGAAGGTGGAGAAGTATGATGGTGAGTAGATGCCTCCCGGACATTCGGAATGATGCCAGAAAATTTCTCCGTGTTGTGTTCAATGTTTTAAATCCCTTAGTCTCGAAACCGGAGTGTTTCGGGGACGTTAGTCATCTGACCTTGCTTAAGAGATGCTATAATAACTGAGCACAGGACTTCACAACAAGCCCTCTCCAGACTGCACACTTGCGTCACTACAGGGTGAGGTCATTAAAAAGGCACCTCACAACTGATAAATCGAGTTTGACGAAGCTATGTATGCACAGACTGTAGGGAGTATCAGCCGTAGTAGCAATAATATCTGTGGTAGTAGTGACACTACCGTTTTGGTCTGAACTGTCGTTTAAGGAGGTGTTCATCAGCAAAACAGCTTGTCGAAGAACAAATGAAAACGCTACTCAACTCTTACGCTGGCTCGCCTTTGCTTGTGTTGCTCTCATGGCGGTCAGCGCAGAAGTCCTGTTTTCCGTGTTTTCTGATCAGCTCATGGACATTTTTTGCCTTTTTAAAGGGGTTTCTGGAAGTAAATGTTAGTGACAGTACTGCAACCACGGACTCTAATCCACACTTTTGGGGTTCGACAAATTTCCTCATTCTTGTCTCAAAAGTGCTAGCCCCCACTGTACGGTGTAACCCTAGACAACGATACTTGCGTGATTACTTACAAATACCTATAATGTAAAAGAAAAAGCGTACTTATATAAGATGAGAACTATAACGTTGGAGTGCCTTTAGCCCAGCTGGTTACGGGACATGATTACTGAGTTTCTCCCCAGGGTATGATCTAGATCTTTCACAGACAGTTGCAGAGTGACCAGTAATTAAGCAAAGGTGGATACCATGAAGGGGAAGGGAGACTGGATCGGCCATTTCTAATTTATTAGCCGTCTTCAACCAGCCCAACCCACATATAATTACGGGTCTGACCCTAAAAAGTCATGTCCTGTGCTGAATAGTTTCTGTCATGTCCTGCCCACGCAGGCAGCCGCACAGCTCAGTGGTAAAGTGTCAAACTCCATGACCAAAGATCCCCGGTTTGAATCTCAAGCGATCCACATTTGGAGTTGGGTATGACCGGCTGATTATGGTTAATAAGCCAAAAATGACCATTCCGGTCTCCCTTGTCTTTGTCGGTACCATGTCATATATATATATATAATGGTAAAAGGGGGATCAACGATCGTTCTTACGGAACTCAATCGTTCCGTTGTACCTTACAGGTTCTCTCTCGAGCCCAATCAGCAGCCGCACAGCGACGCATGATATAGGCAGAATGGTATTACCGACAAAGACAAGGGAGACTGGAATGGTCATTTCTGGCTTATTAGCCGTCGTCCGCCAGTCATACCCAACCCCGAAATGTGGAACACCAGAGGCTCGAACTCGCGACCTGTTATTTAGAAGTCAACGCCTCTAACCACTGGGCGACGAGCTCGTTGCCTTGTCGGTTTCGATCGGGAATATATAATGGTAGTGGGCGCTCACCGATCGTTCTTACGGAACTCACTCGTTCCGTTGTGCCTTATGGGCTCTCTTTCGAGCCCAACCAGCAGCCGCACATCTGCGCATGATATAGGCAGGATGGCATTACCACGCCTCTAACCACTGGGTTGGGTTGGGCCCGAAGGGGGGGAACGGCAATACCATACTGCCTATATCATGCGCCGCTCTACGGCTGCTGGTTGTGCTCGAGAGAGAACCCGTAAAGCACAATGGAACGAGTGAGTTCCGTAAGAACGATTGGTGAGCGCCCTTCTACCATTATATATATATATATATATATATATATATATATCCCGTTCATCATCCCCAAAAGAAGACGAAGAAGAAAAAGAGGCGATGTCATGGACCACACTGTATTGGTGCTGACGTTTCGGAAACTTCCTCGTTTCCACCATCAGAGTGGTGGTAGGGTGTTTGTTCCTGCTAACTCAGAGTTGTTCTGTCTCGCCGCCCGCCTCGTGCTATAGGTATGTCTGATACACGAACTCTGACCTGCTTGCTGGCGGGGGATTGGCTTAGGTCTCTCCGTGGCCGACCGCTGGGGCGCTGGTGTGACCTCTGCCCCCCGCCCGGCCGCTGTTGTCGCTGCTAGGTGCGTTTGCCCTTGGGCCCTCCCCCCGGGCAGGGGGCAGAGGTTCTATTTTGTGGCTCCTCAGTTGGTCCCCCTACGCTACTCCTGCGGCAAATGAGTGCTAAATTGTCCAGAACACCTGATGAGTTGAATTCTTGCCAGGGACGTCATGCGTTAGCGCCTAATCGGTTAACCACATTTCTGGGGATACGTGGAAACTACCTTCTCTGCCGGGATAACTAAGCTTGCGGACACAAGTATTACGGTTGCAAGTCGTTTTTATGTGCAAATCACAGGCTCTAGAATATAGGGGACCAACCTAACAAGTCCATTTCCAAGAAATTTATTCCTTGATTCTTCGAAAACTTTTTTTCGAAATTATTGGGTGTCGTACGCGCGCAGGTTTGCACACCAGCGGGGAGCATAAACGAGCGCCCCGCTTTCATTGAGGATATTTGCCTCAACACTACCGACACTACCAAGCAGACTGCGCTGCTGCCATTCTTGACAGAACTGACGACCGCAGTGGCTCATGGCATGTGTTGTCCGGGGCTCCCTTGAGTCTCTGTGGGCCTCTAACTACTGGCGTGCATACTTGTGGTAGCAATTAAGTGAAAGCACCCGTCACGCCAGTCATTGGGCGACTGACAGGGGCTGACAGGCCCCTGAAACACGGGATAGGCGAAAGATAGTACTGCTGGTAAGGACCCGAGAAGCCGCCCGTTTAATACAGAGTTGGAGGGCAGAACGCGTGTGGCACGTGTAGACGGGTTGTTCAGTTTTATCCGCGTCCCCGCCCCACACGCAAGGACAAGGGATCGGAAGAACTGAAGTCCGCTTTTCGTGAGTTTTTGGAACGGCACGCATGCAAAACTGTTTGGATTTCAGCCTCAGTCTTCTTGACCTTGTCTTGCATTAGTACAGTATGGATGCGGGACACTATGGATTGTAAGCGTCTGCTATGCCAGGACCAGTAAACCATGGCTCTCGTAGCTTGATGCGCGCTGGCACTTTTATGGCACCTGATCCCCTGCCGGTAGATGCGCTTGCGTTCCCGCCGGGTATGTGGGTCAGGCGCATAGCTGCCCAGCCATCCTCGTCCTTCTGACCCGTTTTGGTGCTGCAGCTGTTGGTAAGAATCCTGGTCAAGTTTTTGTTGGGATGGTGGTGGTGGTGGTGGTGGTGGTGGTGGTGGTGGTGGTGGTGGTGGTGGTGGTGGTGGTGGTGGTGGTCTTCCCAAACAGAATTGGAAAATTACGCCTGAGACGAAAAGCAACGTTGCTTATGGTTTTTGGAATTTCGCGGCAGCAAACCAACAATGTCCTAGATAGGATTCAAAAACAGCATCACCGATGAATATATCGGCGACTATCCTTAGTTAGCAGTGTCCAGAAATTGGGATCACCAGCTGATACTAATTTCGAGATTGGTGCGTCTGTTCCCTCTAACGATTGTTTCAGTTTGTTTTCAGTAACTTCATATAACAACCCCATTTCAGTTAAGTGGGAGTCTTACCTTTCAAAGTCACCAGATTATAGATGTATAACAAAAAGGCATTTGCCCAATGTCCTTTCTGATGGCTCCACTAGACGCAGAGCCGGAACATGCTAATGCCTGCTTCAGTGAGGTAGAATCAGCCTTGAGGCCCCTCTTTAAGAAGTTTTTCTCAGTACTTTTAACTTCAAAAACTTGATTCTAAGATTTTTTAGTCCCAGAACTAGTTATAAAATGCTACTGTCGGCGTGGGACATACTACCTACCGTACCTCCGTATGTTCTGGCTTTTTGGCAGAAAGAGAGGTGAAGGAACTCGATGTTACACCCTTTTCGCCGTCTAAATGTTTTCTAAGCGAAGGCTTAGAAAGACCGTGAAGGCCGGTGTTTGCTCTGAGGAGTAGGGTCGAGAATATAGGGTCCGGAATTGTTGTCTGGCGTTTTTACGCAAATAATGAATTCTCGCGCTTAAGATGGGTGGAAAAAAAACACTTTTTGCCACCACGTAATGGCAGGCGACGCAGGACATCAGTTAAACCTAGTTTCTTACATCAAAAAGCTGTTCGAATTGGACGGTGTTGAGATGATACCATCTGGATTACCCTCTCGAACACGAGTTGGCGGGAATACTGTGATACGATCGAGCTCTCTCCCGTCTAATCACGTACAGCCGTGAATTGCGATCGCTTCTGGATAAGTTACTGTTCACGCGGAATGTGGAATGTTTCTGCGAAAAAGGGGGCTATGGTCTCAAGACACTTTGCTAACTTAAAGGACCGTTTCGGGCCTACTAATCATCAAGGGCCAACGACAGACCAAGCCCAAGCAGAGAAGGCCTGAGTCTCGGGAGACCGCGCAAAACCCCTAATCTCATTTGGTTGCAAGACCGAGTAGAAAATTGCGTTTCGCTCTGAAACCCTCACGTAGGGCATGAGTTGAACCAGCTTCCGGGAGACCTGAGATTCCAATCAGGTTCCAATCAACTGGTGGGGAGTTATATTCACTGAAAAACCGGACCAACTGACGACAACAAACAAACCCGAAACGTTACCTCCAGTTGTCCTGTCACTATTGGAAATGTAGCTCGACTCCGTATGAAATGCTTTGGATAAAGGCTCTTTGCTATCGCTGTCGAACTCCTTTGAACAGTACTCAGCCACCACTGCTTGCGCCCATAAATCTTATTTAGCATTAAGACTTCATGGACGGAGAGAATCATGCGGACTAATCTGTGTCTGCAAACGCATGATAGTGTTTCCTCAAGGAAATCCTTCCGCTGGTGGAGCACTCAGGTCACACTGTCGGAATTCTCGTAACTACCTGAGGATTGTAGCCAAGAGGCTATTATCAGACATCCAGGAAGCCCTAGATGTCTTCGGTAATGGGCTAAACCAGCGAGTCAAGAGTTACCATTCCTTGGTGGATGCAAACGTCATTGCGCTACATGGATGGAAACAACGTCTTTGTGTTAGGAGTCAAAGTAGCACTACTCCGCAGTGCCATCCTGCCTGGGCTGTTTCTAGGCCTAGGAAAGCATGCTATCCCACCACTGCGTTGCAACTTACAGAACTGGCGAGGCAGTCGCACCCGGGGCGCTTTCTCTCTCTCTCTCTCTCTCTCTCTCTCTCTCTCTCTCTCTCTCTCTCTCTTGACAGCTAATTTAGGCAGATGTTATTAGCAGAGTGATTGTGTCTCCTCTATTTCTAGTTTTTCGGAGACGTCCAGAGTCTTTTTATCTGTTCGATAAATTCCTGGAAGACGTAAAGCAGCCGCGTCTAAGCAAACAGGGTGAAGTCTTAACAAACCCCGCTCCCGAACATCTTGTTTTGCCTGTGACATTTGTGCATATCCGGATAATTACAACTCCACGCACTCCGCCTCCACCACCACCACCACCACCACTGACATAAATGATAATGTTCTCATTGGCTAACGAGTGATATCTCACGAGCCCTAAGTGTTAAGAGTAGTAAGTAAACCCGGTTGGTAAATAAAATCAATATTTATAACGCAAAACGACCTGGCAGCAGAGCATGCCAGCAAAGCGGGAGTTGTCCAGCAATGGTGTTTCCGTCATGTTAAAACAAGCAATACGGTAAAAGAAAACGGGACTAGATTGCCAAGGGTTAATTAGTCTAATACCTAGTCACACCACCACCGCCGCCACCTCGCGAGGGGAGAGGGCATCCGAACGATGATCGCAAGACCCTTGGGATAAGTGTGTCATAGGTAAGCCTGCCTAAGAATATGTTAGAAGTCTGTGTAAAGTTGGACGGGTGCTGGCCTGGTTATAGGACGGTCGATACGCTTTGCGCTGTAACTCTAATCCAGACAGTTCTTTAGCTGTGAGGGAACAACGAGCGGTAGTTAAGATCTTCAGGCGTCTCACAGACAAAAAGGTCGACCACAGTGACCATTTTGGCCTATTTTCCCTTGCCAAGCGGTGCCCTCTCAATCTCAGGCTGCGAAAACCCGGAATTTCGAGCTGGTCTCGACTTTTCCGGCTGTTATTTTAAGGCTCCATAGTTCATCTAACCTTCGAGAAGTCAAACCGGTGGAAATTCTGTTGCCAACTTGTCCACAAACATGTAATCTGTCACTCGAATCTCTCTACTCATTTCATTTGGCAATTTCCTTCTCCTTCTCCTCCTTCTCCTCCTCCTCCTCCTCCTCCTCCTCTTCTACTACCACCACCACCACCACTACCATCGTTACATAATGTTTTCTCTGGGTTCTTAGCAAGGTAACCTCAAGCCTTAACATCTATGAAACTCGGCCGGTGAGACAACGAGAATACGGGTCCTCATTTTAAATTCCAACAACGCATTAATCCATGTAAAGCACCCAGATCAGTTTGGTTTTCCAAACACTGAATAAACCTAGCAGGGGACAACTCCGCTGCCGGAACTAGAAAGCTTGTTTACAGGCCTTCAGGCACTGCTGCCGGTACAAGCCTACAGTCCATTGCACACTTCTTCAAGTCGGTTCCTCTCAGTCGGGCATTCACCTTCTTCAGGTGCCCATGACGGTACCAAGTGCACCCTTTTGATATGACCATCCCCTTCCGCATCAGATGGCGCCCAGAATGTGTGACTGAAAGCACAGCTTGCTCTGCCACTATTTATACTACCAGAAATAGTGAGTAGTATTTGGTGCTGTTGTTGTCGCTGGTGTAGCGACGGTTTTTTCCTTAAAAACGGTATGAGGGACCGTTCCCTTTTTGGCAAATAACTATAAAATTTGGGGCGGAACAATCTAACTACGACGTAAGCCAATTATGCATTTAAGTAGGATGCGGTGTGTGAGCCGTTCATAGGGGCTGTCCGACATTTGAAAGAGGCTTTACCTTACAGTCTTTGAGGACAAAACACCAGTTCTTAAGAGGATTAGATTATTTCAGTCTGAGAATGGTGATAACATTATCCGGACACCGGTATATGCTATACTCGAATTAAACTTGTAAACAAATAAACATATATTTGGTGGACTGAGTCAGACTGAGGATCTGCCTAGATGGACCCAGCTTTACTTTAGAAAATCAGGGTGATTGCCTAATAGGAGAAATAGCGTGGGGCTGGCTAATTAGCGCCTCCCCCCCCCCCCACAAAGCCGAAAATGCCTTTCCTCCTCTTCTAATCTGGCGCAGATTTCGATCCCTTGCTTAAACTGCTTGGCGCAATCACTTCTCATACCTATGTGCTCACAGGTCTCGCCGACACAGTTGCGCACGCGTGTGAACGCAGGCTCGCGCCCCCTCACGCGCATCATACGGCTTTCAGCACTCACCGAAGGTAATTCGAAACCGATGGCCCCAGCCGGTTCCTCGTGTTGATGCTGCAAGCCGGCACATCTGAGTCAGATGGTTGCCCGGGGGGACGCGCATGCATGCATCGGTGTTTGGCAATGGTAATTAATGTGAACCTGCGTGTTGTGTGTGCGTACGTGTCAAACGGCTCCAGCTTTTATTTCCCTGCCTGCCTCTCCCCCTCCCTCGCCCGTTTTGGCGCTGTGTTGGGCCACGTTGCCACAAGACGGTTGTTAGGGCTAAAGGACGCAAATCGTGACAACCACCCTCCCCCCGGCCTTCGCGTTAGTTGCGCGCCCAGCGCCAGCCAAACGCGCACAGACACATACTAGGCCGAGCACAACTGTGACTGACGCTATGACTGTTGCTGGGTGATCGAGCGCGCGAGCCGGCATAAGCTAGTGCGCGTGCACTGTGATGATCAAACAATTTGGTTGATCGTATTTCCCCTCGCCTGAATGAGTCCTGAGAGTGCGGCCAGAAATTGGCATAACCAAAGGAGACGAATGGACTCTGCCGAACTCTGATCACTTCGTGCTCTAGGGCCTACAGCTGCAGTTCTATGGCCTCTTCTGCTTTCACCCCTGATCCCCATTCATCAACCCTATCACTAGTGTCGTTACGAGAGCCATACTGACTCCACTTCCTGTCCAGATCCGCAGTCTGTGCGATACGCGGAGATCGCACCCCTAAGCTGACAACCCCCAATTTTCGCTTTATTCATTAGCGTTATTCTCCCTATCTGAAACATGTGCATGATTATAAAGGGTCGCTCTCCAAGACTTTGTTGTGTTGGGCGAAGAAGATAGTCGAGGGCTTGAAGGTGTGTGGCAGACAGTACGAAAATGGACGACAGTTTTTCCCCTCCAATACCGAGAATTAGCTGATGAGTGTTCATCCGTCTGGCCCAAAAAATTACCACTCCTCATCTGAACGGGAGGGGAGGCTGGCGATTGCCTGTGTGTAAAGCGAATTCTATAGCGGGGCCGTGGGAGAAGTAATTGCGCCATGAAATTTGGACAAGGAATCAAAATATGAGCCTGACGATAAAAGTAGATTTTCCAATGGAACCAAGAAGACCGCAGATGATTGGCCAGACATTCCATCGGCGCTTAACTACTGTCATATGAACACTTTCACACGGCACCGGACTTTACATACCCAAGTACTCTATTCTTAAGATCTGCTATATACGCCGTCATGAATAAAAGGAAACTTCATAGTCTACCCGTCTGTCTCAAGAAGCACATTATTCCCTCCGTCTGCAAGCCTGCAAACTGTCGAACTTAGTGATGGCATAAATGCACGTATCGAAATATATGATAGGGGATCTGCCGCATTTCAGCCGCGAGTCTTGGCTATGTCAGTGGAAGATGGAGTCGGACACAGTTACTGGCCGGTAATTTCAGCCCAGACATGCACGCCCTATACGAAACCGGACGAGATTTTATCGGGACAGCCGATCCGGCCTTTGATATAGTTTTTGCCGACCTGGTGCTCAAAATCAACAAGGTGGGAGCGTACAGTTTTCATTAGGGCATTTCGTTAGTCCACGAGAAACTACACTTGGTAGGAAGTTGCTCCGGACTTCCACTGCAGCAGGTGCGACATCAATCTCGCTCTTGTTCCTCTCACCGGTCAGGATCCGATGAAAGCAGTAGGTTCGAACGACTGAAGCAGGACTTGGAACACAGAGACTGATTCCTCACTCACACGCATGATGATTCGCAGATCCTCGTCAGCTTGACTCCACTCATCTGAGAGTCATACCAATGGGGGTTGTCATAGGTCACGTTAAGAAGGAAACCCTGTAACTGGTCTCTACTTACCCCCCCCCCCCCGCTGACCAGTTGTTTCCCGATTCAGAAGACTGCGAAAATTTGGTGCTGGCTAACAGCAATGTCCACTGGGTGTCCCACAGCAAGTTGGACACAGGGACGGTGGCTTGCTGATAAGATGACTTATAGTAATACCAGATGGGGCTGGTGTGACCTCTGGGTAGAGGTTAGCTTGGGGAGCCACATGTGAGAGTTGGGTGACAGTTAATGGCTGTGCGCAGTAACCACCACCTGCATGAGGCATACGATACGACCTACCAGACCTGCACGCTCCGTCCTCTAAATGGACAACCCGACACCTCTCAGAAGACCATACGTGACGACACAACCACCTATTGACGCCGAAGTTCCATCGGACAGTGTGAATATCGCCTTAATCGGGGGAAGGAGGGCGAAATGTATTGCATGCAATCTCACAACCAGTCATTTGAAAGGCTCGTGTAGTTGACTGATATATGGGAGAAAGTGAGACCAATACTGGCGTATCCTTCTTCCAAGGTAAATAAACTACTTCCTCAATACAATAAAGCCAGCGCGCTTGGAAGATTGCGGGCTTACGAAGATGTCCACCGACGGGATAATTCAGCCCTCCCCTGGAACTAAGGGCAGACTGAATCAGCTCCTTATTTAGGGCCCCCTTACTTATGTGAGATTCGAAACCCCATGACTTCTCTGTCAAGCGTTTTGCTCGACGTTCGGGTTCAGCACGTGAGTGGCACGTGCAAGCAAATCTACAGTGAGTGACCAATCTCATGAAATGTTGACCGAAATTCTGAAATGCGTTTTCGATTAGGAAGGATTACTTAAGCGCGGCTGCAAAACCGATTATCTTGCGGCATAATCTTATCACATCTCGGACTCGGCAGGATGTCAGCTTTTAAATGCATTTCTTTTCAATCTCCTGTAGAAAGCGTGCTCGGTAAAAGATGACTACTTAATTAGAATGCATTTTCCCCATTGATTTTCGATGGTCATGCAAATTCAAATATATCTTATAAAAACCATAAACAAAAATATGCTTTCTTTTAGTCAATTAATAGGAAATCACGTCTTCTTTATATTTTATACTCAAGAAAGGAGTGTAATTAGGCTTTAAAAAAGTTTCTAATTATGAGACTTTTTAAGACCGCGATATGTCCATTCACATAGCATCGTACCTGGCCGTTTACCACTGCTCCTCATGAAATGTACAACATAGTGCGCATCCATTGCAAAGTTTTATGGACTCTGTATGATATCTTTTTAAAGACATAGAAAAATATGTGATTTTCTTTACGCGGAACGCATACACCTTGTAGACTGAAATCACTTAGCGCTAATGCAACACTCAATTTCTTCGCCAAATTAGTGCGTACGATAAGACTTTTGGCTGAAAATCATTTATCGCCCCTGTCTTCTTGCTCTCCGTCCATCGTGTTGCCTCACCCGTATAACCCCTCTACCACCACTCAACGCATGACACGGTCCCCAAGCTAGATCAAGTTATTTGTGGGTCCTACAACACCCTATCATTGTCGAGGAAATATCTATTGTGAACCATTGTGAGTATTCTCTAGAAGCTTAGGTCTTATGACCGGACGTTTTAGGATATATTCACCCGAGCTTGCACTGTAAGTATTCGAGGAGATTTATTTGTCGTATAGTCTGCAGTTCTACTTTAGATGGCAGATCCTTTATCATTGCGAGCAGTGAAAAAAGCCTAAAAATATCAAAGATCTGGAACACTTTCCCTACTCAGAAGAGCCAAAAGGACTAGAAAGTAGGAATAATGCACATATCCCCATGAAGTTTCTGATATTTCCCGACTGGTAATTGGCCAAATTACAAAAAAATCAACGACCTCGGCGAGATCCGAAGCATCAACAGAGAGTACACGGCTCTAACGACCTGAACAACGAGGCTCCGGCCGATGGCCCTGCGTTCTTCGCATTTAATTTACATCCCACGCCCAATCACTGCAGCGTATAGAAGGCTAACTTCCCAGGCCAATTTTCCAGACAAGCAATCTATACTCCATCGTAGTACTGCTAGACCTACTCTATTATGGGCGTTTTTAAAATAGTCGAATAAGTTTAACTGCTCCGGTAATGAAAGCTTCGACGATTTCGGCGATAACTTAAACCATAGTCCAGATGGTTAGAGCGCTGGTTGTACTGAAGCCACGTCCTTGTCGTCACGGAATCCAATTTCGTCGGCATCACCGAGTTTTCAGAAATAAGTAGGCTAAATTATCCATATCTGTCCGAAAACAGCTACCAATTAGCTGTCCATAATCTCTGAAATGCCAGAATTTTTCGCGCCGTCATAAGACTGATTATGTACTGTGGAATTTTCCGCACCCGTCAAGTGCAAATTCAGTATTTCACGACAACTCGCCAGTGTGGAAATGGTATCCATACGATCACTGATTAATTGCCCATAGTCTCCGAGGCTGAAATCGAACAAATTAAATGCCTGTTTATCAATTGCCATTTTACGACCTTAGAAATTAATAAGTGGAAATTAATGAAAGTACCTAAAGTAAATTCATTTAAAATGACTTGCCGGCCCTATTCGAATAAGGTAGATTTGGCGCAACCTTACGGGACCTATTAGTAATATGATAGCTTCATATTTACATCATGCAGCAGCGGAAACTTCGAGAAACCTGTGAGTAGACTACACCTATGTTAACATAAGGCGAAAACAATCTGTGCATGATACATATTACTGTTGTATTTTCAGGTTCGGTAATTAGATGGTTTTCCGTCGCAGTGGATGGCATTTCGCGTAAATATTAGGATCGCACCTAAAGTAGTGTTTTGGTAACTTTTCTCCAAGTCTGTTCATTACCTGCAGTCTGTTTCAGCCAAAAGTTCTATTTGACAGGTTATTTCACGTCTTATTGAGCGTCTGACACAAAAAACATCACAGTGCTGAAGTTGATCACAGTCAAAAGTGAACCTTTTTAAAGGTAGTTTTCGTGCGATTTTCACTGTGGATTTCCAGGTCGATAAAGTTTACGCTGAACCGATTCCAAGCATCCATAAGTTCTAAACGTTTGGGAACAAGATCACAACGGACAGATGATGGTAATTTCCCACTGCCAGTTAGTCCTTGTGTAGGCGAAATCCAGATGGTATGTTGTCGTCTGAAAATACATTTCCTTAACTCAGCCGCTAAAAGCCTGTCAAAGATTATTCCCTGATAGTTCAGTTTCCCCTACGGAGACATTTGCATTACACACGTTCGGGATTCCCCGGATTTTCTGCGCAGAAAAATAAGTTCCCGAACACAGAGGGCTTAGAGCTTGCTTCATTTCTCCGAAAGGACCATGTTCTCATGTCGAAGGTAGAATTTTCTAAATGTTCTGCTTAAACCAGTTGGACAGAAGGCTTAATATATACCTTATCAGACAGTATTCAAGTGAGGTCGTTGGAATTGCCTCAAAAGTTTTGGATGTGACGCTGGTAATAAGGCAAAACGGAGCTTATACAAAATAAAATATTCACTAAGGAAAGAATAGTCCTTTTCTTATAGTTAACGTGGGCTGATTTCCTC